TACTTGGGCAAGAGATTCCCATTTTGATCTGATGCGAACACAATGTTCTTTGAATTGATCCAATCTTGGACCTTGTCTCTGGATGACATATAGTCTTCAACTGCATGGCCAAGTGTCCCAGGATGATGTTCATAGAGGATTCTATCAAAAGATGTGAAGAATGTTTTATCAAGCGAACTTGCATAAACTGAATCACCAAGTATCTTCTACTACACATAAGAAACATGATAGAATTTAGAAATTGACCTTTAAGGTATCTTCTACTACACAGAAGAAAATGTCCAGGAACCAAACATCTCCTGTTTCTTCTTCACAAAGGCATCACTCCATCTTCCACTACATAGAAGAGATATCCAGCTGGGGGGAAAGAGTCTGAGATGGTTTTCCAAACATGATTTGTACTTTGGAAAATATGCCAGACAGGTGTTGAACTTTGTACTTTAACCTCTTGTGGTCCTTAATATCATGACCAGATGCCCCAGAATGAAACTCATATCTAGCAGCATTAAATTTAAAATCAAGAGGAAGGTTTGTAAGAGGAGGACCCCAAAGCACGAAGCTTAACCAATTGCAATTCAAGAAACCAAGGAAGTAGCTGAGCATAAGACATTGGAACTGAGTTAAATTGCTTCTCAGGATTCTTTGATCTCTACTGATAAGCCTTTCCCCCTTGGATTGATTTGGGGAAATAAGCATTGTCTGCTGATGGGAAGACCCGGGAACACAAAGTTGTGGAAGAGACCCACGAAGTAATTCATGATTTGAAATAGGTCCATAAGGATGAGGAGGAATAACAACTTGTGTTGCAACAACATATATAGGATTACTTTCCTTTGTCAGCAATATCTTCATACTTTTCATAACCAGGCTCAACTGAGTCTTCAACTGGTCGTTTTCCTCTTTCAGGAGTTCCTGACCATAGACCATGGCTTGCATATCTATCACAATCAACCCCAACTTAGACTTTATCTTGGTCGATTCCTCGCGAAGTTGTTCCATACCCGATGTTTAAACACGTAGCAGTGACAAATCAAGTATGTAATTTTGATGAGAATACCAAGTCTGAATAAGAATCCCCAACTCCGAGTACCTGTTATGAACGCAAGAAGATGCATGAGGTGCATGAGTGGATGCAAATTCCATATTCCACCATTCTCGAGAAATTTACATGTTATGCTTTTAAGCAAGTAAGAGATGGAAAAGCACAACACAAGGCTCAAAGATATGATTACCCGAAAATGACATGCATATGCAAGTTAACTTTTTTCATGTATACATTTTTTTGAATGCCATGATGCAAAAATGCCATAATATGGGATCAAGGTCTCCATCACGCCGGATAACAATCATGTTGTTGTGTTATTTCTGAGTAATCTGAATGTCATAAGATAAAAGGTTTGGCACCAACTTAGAGTACCAAGAAACCAGGTCTACATATCATAGGATCAAAGGTCTGACATTAATTCAGAACACATTGGAACCAAGTATCATGTAGCTCAGCAACAGTACGTATTAAGAATATTCCCACCACACTCACATGTAATATCTAGTCAAGGTAAGGTCAAAAGATACACAAAGTCATGAGTCAAATGGAAGGTGTATCACCATAGCAACAAACATGCCTGACGATAGTGACCCCCAAGTGTACCTCGTCTGCACGTGGGTCTCATGATCACGCTAGTAGGGTCTACACCCAGTAGGTGTCATGACTATCCACTCTAGTCCTATGTATTCCTAAGTGTGTTACACTGGCCTGGGTATTAGGCCTTTTACCTCATAGCAACATCTCACCCACCAAGAAAACACAGAAAATCCAATATCAAGCACAATAGTAATAACCAACATATGGAAAGAAATAAAATGCAATGAAAACATGTGATGCAAATACAACATGTAAGTATATGGATGCAATGCATAAATAAAGTAAATCATATAAATAAACTCCCAATGAAAACAAACAACCAATATCTAGGACTAACTCACTTAGGTATATCCCTAGTGAAGTCGCAACTGAGGCAACTAGAAAAATGAACAATGAAGTCTCCATCAAATGTTATTTATCCTGCATAAGGGAAATGAAAACATCGAGTAAACCTGAGAGAAACAAGGTGTTGCAACCAAGATAAGGGTACGAGAGTCGATTACGCAAGGGAAATGTATTAGCACCCCTCACGTTTGTGGTATTCCATGGGATCCACTCTTGTCATTCTAATCAAAGGGCGTGTCTATCTAAACTTATAAGCTAAAGGAATTCATGAATGCAAAATAAAAAATATAGGGAAAACAAAGGTTTTAAATAGTTGCGCTCGCTTAGGCCTTGTAATCCAATGCCTGTGTATCCCTTTTAAGGAATCAGAGCGCCATAGTTCAGCTCAAAAGTTTTGGTTTGTTTGTGTTTTTTATGGCTAACAACCCTTTCTAAACAAGTTTTCATAAGAAAAGCCCAAGCGGAAAAAGAGAGTTTGAATTTTGTTAAGTGTTTTGTTGGGATAGTAGCAAATGAATCCCGATGGAGGGACATCAATTATTTATCCGCTTATTTGAAAAAGAGTTTGTGAATTGAATCGTAATAAAGTCCATAAATGTAAGAAGAGCAAGGTTAAGAATGTACCGCCTCACTCTTCCCTATCAGACTCAACTACGTATGATTCACATCTTTATTTATTAAGTGTTTTTGAGTTTTCTTGATAAAAAGATTTTAGTTATACATACATGAAATGCAAGAACTAAACCTAAAGCTAAGGGAACTTGAATCCTACTTGTTATTATGCAAGTGTGGTCCTAAGATTAGGATACAAGGAATCCTACTTAAAGTTATCATGCTTGGTTTTCAAACCTAGACCCTACCTTAGATTTAACCTTAACCAAAGTTTGACCAAAGTTCCTAAGGGAGCATGGCATCTCAGAGACAAAGAGAATGTACAAGTAACACAAAGTATACCTAAACAAGTAATAGGAAAGCAATCACGCAAAAAAGGAAAATGTACAAGCAACACAAAGGATACCTAAATAAGTAATAAGCAAGTAATGAGAAGCAATCATGACATGCTACAAAATAAGCTCAATGGAGAGCACCTAAACCGGAATTAGGCATCAACCAATCCTAAACAAGTAATAGGATGAGAATTCTATGAGGACAAGCATACAAGACATCAACCAAACATCTAAACAAGCAATAAATGCATATGCTATCATGAAAAGCATATATGAGATGTAAAATATCCTAAACATGTAATGGGATGAGAATGTTATCAGGACAAGTATATGTGAGATGAAAAATAACCCTAAACATGCAATAGGATGACATGTTATCAAGACAAATATGTAAACAATGTAAATACACCAACAGGCAAGGTAGATGCTATCAATACAAGCATACAAAGAAGATATCAAACCCACAAGTGAGGTAAATGCTATCAAGACAAGCATACATCAATGGTGTTAAACCAACAAGCAAAGAGAGATATTATCAAGACAAACATGAGTAATATCTAACTAACAAGCGAGGTAAATGATATCAAGACAAGCATGCATATTATCAGGAAAAACATGCAAGATCATAGACCAACAAGCAAAGTACAAGCTATCAAGACAAGCAGACATGTTATCAGGACAAACATGCAAGATAATAGACAAATAAGCAAGATAGATGCTATTAAGACAAGCAGACATGTTATCAGGACAAACATGTAAGATAATAGACCAACAAGCAAGGTACAAGCTATCAAGACAAGTAGATATGTTATTAGGATAAACATGCAAGAAAACAGACCAACAAGCAAGGTATATGCTATCAAGACACGCAGACATGTTATCAGGACAAATATGTTATATATCAACAAACATCTAAACATGTAATAGATGAACATACTATCACGACAAGTATGTATAAGAGATCCAAGTAAGAACCTAAACAAGAAATAGATGGACATGCTATTATGACAAGCATGTAAGAGATGTACACTATCCTAAACAAGTAATAGGATGAGGTGAATCGAGACGTCACAACAAGGGTTACCTAAACATGCAATAGGCTAAGTGAATCAAGACATCACAATATGAACAAGCATCATAAAAGATTTACCTAAACATGCATTAGGCTAATGGTGAATCCAAACATCACAATATGAACAAGTATCACAAAAGATTTACCTAAACATGCATTAGGCTAAAGTGAATAAGGACATCACAAAAAATATTGAACATGAATCAAACAAAAAGTGAACACGCATCACAATAAATATTGAACCTAAATAAAAAAAGGAATTGAACATGTATCACACATATAATGAACCTGAATCAAATAGAAAGTGAACACGTATCACACATATAATAAACCTGAATCAAATAGAAAGTGAACATGTATCACACATATAATGAACCTGAATCAAATAGAAAGGTGAACACGTATCACAAACTAGGAACAAGTAATCCAGCTCTAGGGGTATCAACCTGTATTGTCACAAATTAATTCCTAGCTACACAGAAAACATTGCCTACAACGGTAGGACTTCCAGTCATGCATCACTATCCTACTTCTCATGACAAGATCAATTGAAAACGATGCAAGAACGAGGAATAAAATAAAGCCACAATGAAACCTAACGGAGAAGTTTTGTCTCCTCTTCAATGCGCTTAAATAGCTCAAGCAAACCTGTAGAAGCTCCACGCGGTCAACCAAATTAATCCTCGACCACCTGTTTTCATCACTATTTTATGTTATTGAAAATCCGTGTGGCTAAAACTATCTAAAATAAATGGATATGCCATGGGTGTAAATTGAACCTAAATGTGCAGTGCAGAAATAATGGCACTAAGCCCGATAGACAAAGTCCAACATCAATTTTTGTTTACAAATCAAGAAACTATAAAAAAAAGCACCAATGGACCAAGAGATATGTGGTTCGGTCCAACCGTTTCCAACATCACAATCCCTAATTTCCAATCAGTCTCGATATCATTTATTTATTCAGTAATTGAAAGTAATTTAAATAAAAAACATGGAAATGGAAAGGTCACTGAACGCAGTGTTTGTGTGTGTTAGATTATCAAGCCTTTCTTCCCCAAAATCACGATCTATTCTTCATTCAGAACTCAATGTCGCCGTTCTTCTTCATCATAGAAATCGCGACTCCATACTTTTCTCTGATCGAAACATAACGCTTCCGTACCTCAATCTTCTTCCACTTCAATCACGATGACGGTTAGAACCTCTTCGAAACTTCCATCCTATGCTGTGAAGAAGATGCAGGTTATGGTGTCGTACGGTTTCGATGTGTGCGTAAGGATGAATGAAGTGTTCTGGATTCAGTGATGAATTTGCAGTGAGGAAAATTGAAGATCTGATGTTGCAGATAGAAGAAAAGAAAAGGTAGCAAGTGCAGAAGAGATTTTCTGAGAAGAGTTTTTTTGAGAAGTTAGTTTTTTTTCTTCTGTTTAAGCTTTTTCTGTATGAATCGTATAGAATGAATTGTCTCTTGTCAGAGAGAGAGAGAGAGATTGAGAGTTTGAGAGTTTGTTGGAGATTTTTCTCTTTGTGAACAATGATCCCCCTCCTGAATCGTGAAAAATTTTGTTATATCCGAAAAAGTCTGTTACAGCGTCACAAAATTCAGGCCTTTGATTCTAATAGTTTGTCATGCCCATCAAGGGATGAGATTACATTTGAGTGAAAAGATAGATGAGTTGTATATTCTTACTTCTGATTTAATTTTCTGTTAAGAAATTGGAGAGCTGAGATTGATTTGGTGTGAGCTGTCATGAGCTGTTAAATAATTTTTTATTCAATTATTTTCTGTACTTTTTTCCTGATGCACAAATTCTACTTTTTTGGCTTTTTATCTCGATTGTTTCTCATTTTATCCTCATTTATTCTCTACTTTTGAACTCGGTCTTTTCTCCCTTTTGAAAGTAGAACCTCAACTTAAGTTCTTTTGGAATGTACTTGTGATTAACTTATCCCCTTTGTTAATATGTCGACCGTTTATGACTTGGGAGCTTTGGATTCAAGTGATTTAATTTTATTCTGATTTTGTTAGTTGAGTTGATTTTGTTCTTCATGAATGATGCATGTTTGTTATTGACATTTTTTGGACAGGTTTGGCATTCATGTTTTTTTGGCATGAAGTGTGATCGCAAGACTTGGCCATGGACAGTTTGAAGTTGGACATGAAAATGGGAACAAGATTGCTTTGAAGAGTGATGGAAAACTTAGCTTAGATTTAGGATTAGGCACCTACATTTAGAATCCAATTTGAGATGTGATAACATGATACTTTGAATGAAGTTGAAGTATGGATATGGTTCTTTGTAATCAGTGGCGGAGCCAGCATACGGCCAGGTAGGGCAGTTGCCCAGGCTCCGCCTAACCAGACTTCACCATCTTGCGCCTGCGATCTTCCATGGCCATCCTCCATGACACCATGCCGCAAACAGACGTACACCGTGGCTCCGCTCTTGTCGTTCTGGTAAAATGTCTCTGTCATTTTTTTCTTCTTTTTGCTTCTGTTTCAGTTTAATTCTTGCTACAACATTGATGTTGTTGTGTTGTTATTTATTATTGTTGCAGGTTGTGGTTAACTAGTTGATGGAGAATTGATGTCAAATTTGTCGTTTTGCGCTATGCCCACCAAGTGTTCGGTAAAAGTTTTGAACTGAGATTATTTTTTCTTTATCTTTTTTAGTGGTGGTTGATGAAATGAACAAGAGAGATCTTATGGTTCCATATGGAGTTATCATTACAAATGTTTCTGAAGATATTCGATTCGATAAAGGTGATCATGTTCGTTTTAAATATAATGTTCTTTTATTTAATAAGGTCTTATCTAAATCAATTTTATTTTAACCGTGATTTCAGCTTAAATATCGGTTTGAGTTCTTCACTTCGACTTGAATGAGCTTCCAACTAATGATGTCAAAACAGGATGAGTGTTATTGTGCTGTTATTTTTTTATGTTCATGCTGAAACTGAATGAATTATATTCTTCTGTCATGTAATTTAACGCCAAGATGTTTATACAAGTTTTCATCTTTTGAATGTGATTTGATCTTGTAACTTTGTTTATGTGAAACTATAAACAGGTTAGATGCACAAAATTAGTATGAAAATGTGATGGAGTTGAGAGTATGAAATTGGTGGAAAAATGTCTAGTGAGGTGAGTTTACTATGAAAGTACTTTTTTAATGTGAAATATTATGAAATTAGTACGAATGAAGTTTTGTAATGAGTCAATGTCATAGTTTGTTTATTTTGAATGGTCATTTATTCAATTTTATTGTAAACAATGATGCAAGTAAGCACCACTTCCCCACAGCCTCAAGCAGAGCATGTAGAGTACCTTCTCTCATCTGTTAAGAAAACTTTGTGTATAATATGCAGAAAAACAAATTTAAAACTTTGTATAAAATTGATTTTTCCTAAACCAGATTTTTAACCAAGCATCCTATTTTCTTAGATTTACTTTACTCATGTTGTCCACCACAGATCACGGAATAGGTTCGTTCAAAATTTGTTATGCGACAATGTTATAATGCCACTATTTGACAAAAATGTATGCAAACATACAAGACAGAAGCGTTCTACAGATTTCCTTTTAGCTCCTTGTTTTCCTGCTGATAAACCAAAATTCTTTGCCAATGCTCATCAGTTGTTTGATGTTTCCAGCATTCTGAAGAACAATAATGATGATAAAAAAAGATGAAGCAATCATACCGTGAATCATTTCTGATGTTGCTAAGATATGGTTCAAGTTCAGTCATTACATGGTGAGTTATTGTTTGTTTTCTGGTTGTCGTTGTTATTGTTTGTGTTGTAAATAGTCTTAGAATTATTGGAGATGTCTGAAATGGTTACCTTCTTTAACATTCAAATTAATTAAACAATTGACCATGATTGATATTTATGTCTAAATTCCCGCTGGTTATTTATGTCTAAATTCTCGCTGGTTATCTACAGTATCAGTTAAGTGTGATCTCTTGTCAAGGTTTACCAAATATATCAAAGATATAGAAATGACTGCTCATTCCAATGGTTTTTATTTCTTGGATCTCTAACTCAAAAGATAATATATAAATTTCTATACAATATAATATAAATTTACGGTCTTTAAATGTTTGCCCAGGCTTAATAATTTTTCTAGCTCCGCCACTGTTTGTAATGGATAGTTGTAGACATATTGAACAAACCTTGAAACGGTAATGATAATTGGATGTAAATGGTTTGAACCTTTAGGACCTTGATTTTCCCGTGTAAGTTATGGACTTGGAAACTTTCATGTAATAACTTCCTTGTATTAATGTGAATGTATCTTGTAATCCACCAACTTTGAATTAAAATAAAGTTTCTTTCAAATTTAATTCAAGTTTGACATCTTCTTTGAATGTTCTTCCTTACTTTGCATTTAGAGTTCTTTGCCAACTTGCATTGAAATGATGAACGAATATGATATTTGAACTTGAATGAATATGGGAACTTTGAATGATGTTTTACATCTTTTATCCTAAGTCCAAAACTCAATATACACCTCCAATAATGTAGCTATGATCAAATATAAGTTAAATGTGTTGACTTCTTACCAAAATGAAAACATCTTCACTCTTGCATTTTCAAATGAACGTGTTTATTGAAATTAGATCAACGGGTAATAGCCCCTTTCTTTGGTTGTAGTAGAGAAAGAGTTCCGTAAGACTTGGTCAACTCTGACATGAACAACTCTCAAATTTTCTTTTCCATGATGTGCACCAATACAAATAGCCATTGTTTTGAACATGAATGGAGATTTAAGAGATTAGGTCAAGTCACTATTAACTATAATTCCTTGTTTGCCTCTCTTAGAAATCTTAATTCCATGTTTAAACCTCATGTCTTTGATAACTTGCACTTGAAGCAACAATAGATTGAAGAAACATGCATCAATCCCTAGTTGAAGGATGGATAAATGAGTTTAACTTTGAACCAAACTAAATTAAGAATCAAATGAATGGAAGCTTGTGATCTATCTTCAAGCAATGGAAACCTGGATCTCTTAATGATCCTGAGGAAGTTGTACAGAAAGAAAAATATTGTATCTTGATGAGAATGATCTTAATGATGGTTGATACCTCAAACTTGCATTGATTGATCATTATATCTCCTTCTTGATAGGAGAAAACCCTAATTCACTGTTGAACTTGATCCTATATTACAAGAACCAATGTCATGAATGTATGAATGATAATGAAGCATATGAGCCATCCAGGGTTGTAATTAAGAGGGAAAATTTTGGGGTGCAACAATTGGTAAAGCATTTTGGATTATAGTTAAGGAATCCAGAGAAGAGATTTCAACAAATTTAGTTGGTATGGATGTTTGTATCACCGAAAGATCCATTGCATAGTTACTTAAACATGATGGAAGTGGTAAAAAATGTTGCTATCTTGGTGATAGTAAAACAAGCAGGAGAAGATGGAGATCAATCACTTCAAAGATTTTTCTAGACAAGAAAAATTCTAAGTATGCCAAAAACATTCAACCTTCCTTAAGAGTATGGGCTAAAATCATCCTGGGATGCATTTGTCAGAAGCCATCAACCAAAACTTTGGACAATATTAATGTGAATGAGAAGGTTATTGCTTGTAAAATAATCCTTGCCAAAGACTTCCCAACTTTCTACTTGGCAAGGTTTCCTGAAATTAATCCTTCCATTATTAAACCTGTGTTTGCCCTCAAAGCTGACTATTCTGATCCTGTTGTCAAGAAGAAAAGAAAGCTCTCTAAGAAATATATCTATGATGATGCTTTTAAACTATCAAAGAAGTTGAAGACCATCTTCTCAAAAGAAGCCTCTAAATTTTGTCCAAAAAATCAGAACAACTTTGTGTACGGATGCTTCTGACAACTCTTTACTCAAGTTTGTGTTAATGAGTTCATCACCTTTCCTATTACCTAAAACAACCATCTAAATCATTCCTTCTGTCTCCACACTTGGAAAAGTCCAAATTGATCCATCAGGCTCAGAAGCTGTCATTTTTTTTATCTTCAACCAACAACCGCAAATAAAAAACCATCTAAAGACACTTCTTCCGATACTTCTACTGAAGTCACAATCTCTCAACCTTCTTCTTCTAACTCTCTTCCCAAACCTCTTCCACAAACACTCTCCAAACATTACCCCATTTCTTTTAATCCTTTCATGCTTTGGTCCAACGATTTCCCCACACTTTTTGATGAACTCAAACGGAAGTTTGAAAGAGGTGTTTAGAACTCTCTGAGCTATGCTGTTGAGAACTCTTCTAACTATATGGATCCAGACTAGATCACCTACATCTAGACAGACTTCAGGAAGTGGATGGATGATAACTCCAACATAATCCAAGCATTCTGTCATATGGAAGCCATGAAGAAGTACAAGGCATGGCTTGATGATATGGCTCTCGAGCCTACTCATTTGTGTCTTCCTGCACCGGTAGCTACTCATGCTCCAGAAGATACTGCAATGCTGGAAGCATCCTTGGAGCCCTCAGATGGTGTTATCCAGACTGGGTCACCTACATCTGGACATACTTCAGGAAGTTGATGTATGATAACTCCAACATCACCCAAGCCTTTTGTCATATGGAAGCCATGAAGAAGCACAAGACATGGCTTGATGCTATGGCTCATGAGCCTACTCATTTGTGTCTTCTTGCACCGGTAGCTACTCATCCACCAGAAGATACTCCAATGCTGGAAGCATCCTTGGAACCCTCAGACGGTGATGCTTCTTAGCTGGTTGGGCCTGGAAAGATTGTTGTTGAAAGGTTAATTGTAGGATATCAAAACTATACCATGGCACTAGAAGTACAGACAAGCAAACTAATATGGTATGCATAATCACGGAATGTCAGCATTGACCAATGCGAGCTTAAGACAAAATATGGAGGAAGGAACCAATCCCTTTTCCACTAGACAGACTTTATATATATGATCTTTGGAACGTGTTTGGAGCTCAGAACTTGCAAAAAGTGAGCATAGGAATGACACGAACAAAAATCGGTTGGGGTTGATTACTAACTCTTTCCACACGTCTTTCTTTTTCTTTGGGAGGACTTAGGGATGGTTTCCATAAAAGGACCTAAAACCATCACCCCGCTATACAAGAACAAATGTAAACAACCTGCAAAATACCTACTTCAAAGGTAGGATTTTAAACAAACACAAATAGCAAGCAAATACACATAGTACGAAATTGCCTTAACCAAGGTCTTTAAATAAACCAGACAGATTCCCGACATGATCAGCAACGGAGATCCCCGTCATACATCTTTATTTCTACTTCTCATGGCAAGGAAAGCGGTAAAAACCCTACTTGACATGATATCTAGAAAGCAATAAGATGCGGAAAGAACATATAAGGGAGATGTACCAAACGGGTAGAAATCCATAGATGCTAAGCGATAACAAAGAAATCTAGAAAATTTCGTGAGCCGCTATCATCAATAAAGAAAATACCATCAACATAGACGTCAAAGCATCAACAAATAAGATCAGAATACGTAGCGGACACATCCGAATATCAAAAGTACACTTGCACAAAACACAATTCATACAGTATACGCAAATAACAATCACACAGTGGAATGTGTCGCAGATACAACCGTGTGATGCTAGAGTACCTGCACGAAAACATGATTTATGCAAAAATGATATCATTTGGCTGAAGATATAACCCAAAATTCTAAGGATATGAATCTGGTAAATAAGGATAACCTTACAAATAATGAGAATGTTCCTGCTTTTAATACACTCCAAGTTATCCTCTCACCTAATGCTTTTTCATCTCCACCCATTATCCATTCCACAACTCAATTATCTTCAATGATATCCATGCTAGAAGCTGAACTAATTCCTACCCAACAACCTTCAAATCTCTCACTCTCATCATCCACTGTCACTGCTCCTTCCACTATCATTATGCCCTCTCCTCCCAGAGCAAACAACCAAGATGTATCTACTAATACTTCCCAAATTTCCATACCACAAACAATCTCCGAAGAATTCAATCATCAAATCGATACGTTGCTTTTTCATCATGAAAACCAATCTGTCGAACAACACTACAACATTCCTAATGTTGACTCTGATCTTCTTATTGCTGAAACTGCTCATACCTCTTTACGTGTTGAGTCCCCAATTTTCTCCTCTCTAAAGAATGGAGATACCGGATTTGACATAGACACTCTAATGCTAAATCCTAAATATGATTCCTCTCTACTATGTGATATCACAAATGATTCAAACACTCTGCTACCTGATCCTGCGAGGATAACCTTCTTAAACTCATCATTTTTTGTGGCATCTCCAGCATAAACACTCGTCCTCCTGTCCATCCAAACTCATCCACACCATCTGATCATCCAAATCATCATGATGATATCTATCTGAGGTCAATGCTTGCTCTACAGAAACATAAAGAGGCAAGTGATGTGTTTTAGGCTATTTGTCTTTTTATCTAGAAAATTTTAGTTTGAAACTGGATCCTTTTTGTTTGTGAACCAAAGTATTGATAACAATGTATTTGATCCTCAAACATATATTATCTATGAAATTATCCTTAAATATTTTATATCATGTCATGCAAATACTTCTCACTCTTAAAACTATTGTATTTATGTACTAACATTGAGGGGGGGTATTTGTTCTTCAAAAGCATGCATAATTCCAAGGGGAGTTTCTAAAAACTAAAATGCTCTCATGAAGGACATAAAACAAATAGTTTGTCACTATTCAAAAAGGGGGAGATTGTTGAAGCATATTCTGGTTTTGAATCTAACAAACTATTTTGCTAAAGAAACTCTAATACATTTCACTTTAAATAAAGTCAACTACCAAGTAATCAAAAGACTTAGCAAAGACTTTCTCAAACAAAGGCTTCATACGCTTGAAGATCTCACAAATTGTATTAAAGGATAAGCTTTGTCAAAGATTAGAATCATCTGAGGATAACCAGTATCCGATGGTAAGAGTTATACGAGGATAAACTTTATTCAAGAATAAAAAAATATAAGGAGCCACAAGTACTGTAGGAAAAGTGTACTCCTCAGCTTTTGTAAAGATCTTCTAGAGGATATCTAAAAGTATATATTCATATCCTCTAGACTATTTCGTAATTACGAAGAAAGACAAAGGACATACTTGACAAATGTTTCAACAACTTTAATTGTTCTTCTATAAAAGACAACACATGTTTCTTTCATAATAAAGAAAACCAACGAGAGAAAATTAGAAACATTGTAAAGAGCGTAATACATCTTATATTCATTTCATATCCTCGCTGTTATATAGTGAGCACCTAAAGCTTATTGTAAACATACTATAAGTCTCAAATTCATTTCATATCCTCACTGCCATATAGTGAGTACTCAAAACTTGTAGTATAAGTCTATCATACATACACCAACTCAATACTCTTGTAAGCTACCTGAAAAGCTTTATCATTCAGAAATGTAAGCCTGAAGAGGCTATAGAATACAAAGAAAGAAAAGAAATTGCAAGGAGAATCAATAAAAGATGATCTCACTAAGTGTGAGGAATGGATTAACTAAGTTGGCGAACTAGGATAAGTTATTTGTGTTCATTCTATTATTATTTTACTACATTTGATTTATATCACTCAAATAAGCACTCTCGCACTTATTACTAATTGTTTTAACTAATCCTGTTAGCTATAAACCATTTTTTTTCTTCTTTTACTCATAATATAGTTTTATCCTAAAGTAATTCTTATAACATCACTATAAACTATAATTTTAAAAATGGTACAATCAAAATCCCTCGTATCTTTTATAAATACTACAATATTTTTTTAAATACAATACATATCTAAATTGTATAAAAGAATATTCAAATATTTAACATAAGAGAAACTAATAGAATTCTAAGAAAGGATGTTGATTATATTAATGTATAATATTTAAAAGAGAAAGATTGAATAGAATAGGGACAAAGTTTAGTGAATGAGAAAAAGTAATGTGTTATTTTGGAGTAAGACAATATAAGAATTAATTTAATTTTTAAAAATTTATAGTTATGCCGGTCTAACGGACTACCCACGGCCCACACGGACTAGCTCTAATGGATAGCGGACTTTTTAGGAGCGAGTTAAAAAAACCCTAAAAAATATGAGCTCTAATTTTAAGAGCCAAGCTCTATGATTTTTCGGGCCTGGTGGACCGGTTCATACGGGCTAGTCCATTTTGACAGCTCAACCCCTCATGCTTTGACCTCAATGAGACTGAAGGGTGGACGATGCGGGAAGTCCAACAAGTGATCTAGGATAAACTCTGATACCATCTCAAAACTTAAATTGACTATAACTCATCTCTACAAAATCAATTTAAAAACCGACTTCTAGGGTGAAATTTGTCTCCGCTTATAAACACAACCCAGTCGGAAATTCCAACACAAGTCATCTAGCAATTGAATTTTGTCGGATAATTTTAGAGAATGCATAAAACAAAAACCTGTTCTAATTCCTGTGTGTTATAGAAACATGACCATAAATAACAAAATATATAATAACTTATAACTTTGACAAAATATGTTGGTATCCAGTAACTTCCAATTTTCACTACTAAATGAAAGTAAAACTTTATAGTTGGTATTGCCTTGTAGGTGTATCCTATATTTATTATTCCTCATTTTCGGATCATTTGCATAGTTCAAACAAAAACCTATATAATTATCTTTCACGTATTGATTCTCCCACTTCAATGGTTATTACTATGATGGCTTTTGGTTTAAGACATCTTGGCTCTTGCAAATAATATACCAGCAAAGAGACCTGAAAATAGTGTGCATTATGAATAATTAGATAAATAAAGATAGGGAGGAAATAAGAGTTGAGTGGTTTTGAATTCTGATGAATTACCAAATAAAATGCTGAATAAATTTGATACACTCAGAGGAACTTTGAACACTAAAATGCCAGCAATAGAGATTGGAATCTTGTTTAAGGAACCTACAAGACTGCAAAACAGACAGAAATAGAGAAATTGGAGGGCCATAAAAGGAACTCAACATAAATAAATAACTGAAACAGTTAGGATTTTGTTGAAGGAACTTAACTTGATACACTTGGTTTTAAGTTTTTTTTAATAGTCCTAATATCAGCTAATAATAGCAATTCAATACAACTCGATTCGCAAAGAATCAGTTTGTATTGAAAAGGTAAAATTCAGTTTTCTGTATAGGTAGTTCTGGTTTGGTTCAAAACATAGGCAGAATATGGTTGAGTTCCATTTCTGGGACTCTTAATACCAGTTTGGTTCGGTTTTGGACGAACCAAATAACAATTCGGTTATGTTTTAACAATCTATTGTAACGGTTTTTGTTAAGTTCTGTCCTTTTTGTGCAACTTTTAGCAGGGAAATTATTTTAATTGAACTTAAACTTGGTAAAATTACCTGTATGTTGTAGGGCTAGTTTGATGTAAGAACCACATTGAGGTAAAGCTGATGGAAAGTCCAATCAGTCCACTAGCTGTTGCAACAATCCAAAACTCCGGCAGTTTAACCACCTCGCTGGAAACCAAAACAAAAAACGATGGTGAGAATGCAGAAGGCTTCGTTGAATTTCAAAACAAAGAAACATACACTCACGCGTGTATTACATAATCCCACTCGCCGAAAAGGAATATCATGATGATGGCAAAAGGTAAAGACAATAAATTGTTTAGCAACACCATTGACACTTCATTAAGAGAACCAGATTTGGTCGACTTTTTCGCTTCGTCCATAACCCACCTCAGGGTAAGCTGTCACAAAACAAAAAAATGTTTAATCAATGATTAAATCATCAATCACAGGAGCAAACAGAGAAGACTCTTACAGAATATGGAAATTTTACAAGGACTATGCATACCGAATAACTTGCGGTAAGAACACAATTCATAATCTGCCAGGCATAACCGGCTGCATCAAAGGAGAGGTCTGTAACACCTCCACTGACAGCAGAGATAATCTGTATAGAGCACATATAAGAGAAGAACATAACTTCAAAAACATGTACCAAAAAAGGTTCCATAAACATTGCATTACCATCGTAAGGCCCTAACCAACAATGAAATGAACTCAAGTTTGTGAAGTTAAAAGCAAATCAATGAGAAAAATACAAAATGTCACTTACCATCACAAACATTGCAGTCCACACTTTCGAACTCTGACGTTTACGGAATAAATATAACTCTCCAATTGCTGTTAAGATATTAGTCACATTCTTGAGAATTGTCACCATTGCAATGTTTATATATTTCAAACTGAAAAAAAAAATGCACCAGAACACATTAACCGTAGATAAGAGCAGCACAAGATGTATCATTTACTGCAAAATTGAGCTGCGTCGCAATAATAAGGTAGAATCTCTCAAAATCGAATATCAAGATCAACATCAATGTATGTCTTAGTAAAAGATTCATAAAAGTAAAGCTTTTTCAATACAATACCTATACATGCCTGACACGAGCATGGCGATAAATATCACATTCACTGGCAACCAAACCCTAATCAACCTCCAGTTGAGCTTTTCAACGGAAACTCTGCCGCAGAGAGCCAATAGAACAACAACCATAGTACTGATTAAGTTCTGCAAAGTAAATGGAAGAATAAATATCGTATACGGCCTGATTAAAATCTTTTATCATCAATTAGAACTCCCACAAAGCTAAAAGAACGACAGAAACTAACTTACCTGATAAAACATCAATGATATTCCTGCATTGAAATTATAACTTGATAAAACGATTTTGTTGAGCATTATCATGCTGCAAGAAGAAATACAGTAAGCTGTTCCAGAGATAAGTGGTACAGACTTCTTGGCAGATCCATGCAATCGATGCCTTTCCTCCTCATCATCAACATGAAACCCGCCATTATCACCGGTTGTAGTTTTATTTCCTTTCAGATATCTGTAGCAGAATAGATATGAAAGTCAAAAAAGGGAAAAACACCAATACATAGAAATATGACAGAGGTGTAATATCATTGAAACACAACAGAAAGGAATTTTATAAATACAAAACGTGGAAAAGAAGATTTATTCCACACCTATCATACAAAGCTCTTCGCTCTGCATTTGTTACGTAGTTGTTCGGTGACAACTTCCCTTGCTCGTAAACTCCGTTGAAAGATGTGTGCACTGTCTTACCCTTTTCATCTATAGTTTTGCCTAATCCTGTCTCTTCAGAGGCATGATCAGTAGCAATGTCTAACTTAAAATCAGACGACATATCATAAACCTATAATTAGTAAAAAATAAGGCAAAAACAAGTCAGAAAGATGGAATAGACTCTTATTGAAAATGCTCCAAGAGTAAATTGAGATAAACTTGAACTAAATGAGGAATATCACTACCCAAATGAAGATAAATTGAAGAAAACTGAAAAAATAAACGTGGGAAATGAAATACCTGCGGTTACCTCAAATGTAGTAAAGGTGATTCACGGTATGAACGTGATCCAGGAGGGATTAAGACGCAAAGGTGAAAATGTGATAAAAGGCGAGAATCCAGGTGGGTGAGGAGAAGAGAAGGAGTAGAATAATGTGGATGGAACGGATTCCGAGAGATGCAAAGTCAATGAGATTGAAGCTGCCATGGCGTATGATAACTTGAAGAACAAGCGAGTGAAGTGAAAGATGCAAAAGAAAAAAGAGGCGGATTTTGCGTGTGAATGTGAAGATTGAACGGTTTTGTTTTCTTCAATTTGGAGGATTTATACATTTACACAAATAGTTTTTTTCACAAAATGTAACTATGCCTCATACTATTGTTTTTGGGATCAAAATTTCTATCCTAATTATTTTAACAAAACACATATCTACGTTAAGAATTGAATTGAAATTAATTGATATAGTGTCGGTATAAAAAGTTTTACACAGACAATGCATCACAACAATTCATAAGTGGTATTTTATATATGATTAAAGTAAAAGTCAAACACTATTAAAAATTAAACGGTTATAAATAATCGATGGTGTAACATTTTTTTATACTGTCGATGTATTTCAATTAAATTATTAAGAATTTAGAGATTAATTAATATACACTGTCAGGGTAAAATATTTTACAGAGACGATACATCACAACCATTCATGAATAGTGCTTTATAAATGAGTGAAATGTCGTTGTTTTTACGATTTAATGTCTCTGCACCACTATAACTAAATAGTTATAACGAAATTTAACTATACACCTTAAAAAGTTGGTGATGTTAAGCAAGTGAATTGTGAGAAATTAATTCTAATTAATTGGACATGTAATCTTCTTCTTGTTATCATCTAATATAAATTTAATAATCTATCATATCAATGAATTTTTTTTAAAATAAAAGTGTATTTTAATTTAATACATAATTGTAATTGGTTGATAGTGTAAAATAATTTTACAATATCAGGATATATGATTACTTTTCTCTTAGTATTATATTTAATCATTTTTCATCATTAACATTATTTGCATGCTGTAAAGACACTTTGTTACTTCTCCAAACTATTTCTAATCCCAACATCTCACATCTTCCTCCTCCACATCTCACATTTTTTCTTAATTTCATATTTTTCATTTTGATCTAATTTTTTAATTAGGATCCACCATTAATGTGATTGGATTTTAGTCTTTTTTTTTTAACATATATAAGTTTTTTTTTAAGAAGGGCATTATTTTTCCCATCCATAAGGGTGTTAGTTCACATTGATGAAAAGTTACTAAAGTTTTTGAATTTTGAAGATGCATCTCTAGACATATTTAATATTTTAGTAAATAAGTCATTCCCATTTTGCCCAAAAATATTTTCGAAGATGTATCTCCGTCATTACCCTTAATTTAAGATAATGAATTTGACACTTAATGAGTTTTACGGTGATACATCTCTGGACGAGGTTTAATTGATATACCTTGCGCCAGAACCTTTCCTTTCTCTTCTTCATTTTCTATACTTTAAAAAACACTTTAAATGTATAGCTCGTGAGCAAGAATCAACAAGGCTATTTTGCAAGCTTGAACACTACATCAACTTCATTGCAATCAATCTCATTAGATTTCATTCACTTCATTCGAGCTTTCACACAACAACTCTCAAATGGTAAATTTCTCATTTTCTTTCTATTTTTGAATTGTGATACGTGTATTAGGTAAAATAGGTTGTTTAAAATGCATTAATTTATAGTTACATTCAAAATAGGTACTTTGTTTCGACATGCATACAAATTTGTTGGTGTTTAGGGTATTGTCTATATTTTCGGGAATTTCTGCTATCGCACATTTTCACAGAGATATATCTCCGGTTTTTTTTGGAATTTTTTGCCTTTCCAGTTTTACGGAGATGTATCTCACTTTTTTTTGGATTTTTCTTTTTTTGTCGAATTTTACCTACCTTGATATATATATTGTTTTATGTTTTGTATAATAGGAACAATGGCTGAAAAACCAGGACAGGTTGAGGCACAGTCGTCTATCCCATCATGTGTCCATTGTAACGCTCATAATTTAATTAATTATTTAATTAAATTATTTTTGGGATAATTGTGAAGATATGTTGTGATTAATTGAATTTAATTTATTTTATTAAGTGGTGAAGTAATATTAGAAGAATGATATTATTTGATGTGGGTTTGTTTTTAAGGAATAGAAGTAATAAGAGGGTGTATTAGTTTTAAGCCCAATGAGGAATAAAGAATAATAGGTTATTTTATTGTTGTTAGAAAGAATAGAAAGAAAGAAGCAGTAGAAGAATAAGGATTGAGAAGGAGAACGTGAAGCTGCTGGAAAAAGAAGAAAAATGGAAGAACGAGAATTCAATTCGGAAGTTATAGAGCGATCTTCAATCCAAGGTAAGGGTGGGGTTCTGACTCTATAATTGGGTTCATGATAATTGGTATGTGGAGTTAGAGGTGATTGTTGTCTTGTTCATGAATTAAATGTTTGTGATGTTGTATGATGAGAATTGATGAATGTTAGATGAATAATAATGTCCCGATGTTGTTTAATCGATGTAAAATTATAGGATAATTGTAAGTGATGATTATCTATGATTAGATTAGGTTTTTAGGGCTTAAAGCATGAAACCCGTAGTGAAAACATAGAGAAATCGCAGAAATTATGCAGGATAGAGCAGTATGCGTCGACCCCAAATGGTATGTGTCGATACAGGCAGGTCCTTAGACTCAGGATGAGTCGACACGAAGGAGTCTTGCGTTAATACATGAGAACCTTTAGACTTAGGATGAGTCGATACGTAGGGGCATGTGTCGATACATGCTATGTGTTAGACTCAGGATGAGTCGATACATGAGAGAATGCGTCGACTCATGTTGCGAGTTCAGTGCAGTACGCGTCGATCTAAGAAGTTATGTGTCGACCCATGTTGTCTGGTTTTTGGCAGAATCAGTTTGAGAATGATGTAACTTGAGTTTTCGGACTCCGTTTAAGATGTCGTTTGAAGCGTTGAATAGCTAAGGCGGTGAACTTTGTTCTAGAGGATTAAAATGAAGAGTAGGAAGGATAACCCTAGTAATCCAAATTAGGATTAGATTTAATTTCCGCGTTAATCGTTATGTTGGTTTTTATGCAGAATGATGAGGATGAAATGTTTATAGGCTGCTGTTTGATTGCTAACAGTAGGAGTAATGATAGTAATGATGTAAGATTACATAATAGCAGTATGAATTACTGTAGCATTAATGTACAACTGAGTTATTGATGAGATGTTATTAATGAAGTTGTGTTTGATAATTTATGATGAACAAATGATGTTTGACGAATGAATGATGTTTGATGAATAAATGACGTTTGATGAATTATTATGATGATATGAGATGTTGATAAAGAGATGTTGAGATGCTTTTAAGATGTAGGCCTTTGGCTAATGATGATGTTGTTAATTATGGTGTTGTCATTACATTCATGATTGTGTCGCATACATTGCATTTTGAGATGGAGCTTATGCTCGTGAGATGGCCTGTATTGGCGAATATTAAGATGAAGGCTTATGCCTTGTTGATGCCTCTATTAATTGGCAATTTTTGATATGGGAGTTCTGCTCCAATGGTACCACATGCATTTGCATAGTATTGAGTCGCATTATATGACTGCATAAAGAAGTGTGTATTGATGTTGTGAATGTGTATTATTGTTGTGATTATTGTTGATTATGAGATGAGAAGTGGTGATGTTATATGATCTAATTTAATATATTAATTATCATGCGCTTTATTATATTGTTAGATATCTCACCCCTTCTGTTTGAATGTTGCCCTTATGTTGGTAACGTGCAGGTAGTCGAGAGTGAAGGCTATATACCTTCAATAGTTTGAGTTGGTGTCATTGCTCTGATATGTAACACTCAGGGAGATCAACGCTTGTTGCTTTTGATTGTTGATTATTCAGTTGTTGAACTTTAAGTTGATTATTATTAAATTATGTTGTTTTGAAGTCGTTGTATTGATGATAAAGATGTTATTAAGAATTCCGCTGCGTAGATGTTGAATTGTTGAATTAATTAATTAATTAAAGCTGTTTTGATGACGGTTCATCCGATGTTTTAAAGTGTTATATATCCACGATGAATGCAATGAATTTTGATAGAAGAATTTGTGGCATCCCAATTCGTTTGCATGAATGATTTTTATAACTCTAATTTATTTATATAATTGTCGGGGTAGAATTGGGGTGTTACAAAGTTGGTATCAGAGCAAAAGGTTGGTCTGACCTTGTCGTCGAGTCGTAGTTGTATAACAATAGAGTATTGTTAATTTGAGTTCTAACCGTTGTTTATGTTGTAGTGAGAAGTTGAGATGGCTGGAAGAAATGATGCTGCACTTGCTGCTTCTCTAGAAGCAATGGCTAGTGCGATGGAAAATCAGCTGAATGCTGACGGGAATGTTGGATCTCGTAGCTTGGCGACTTTCCAAAGAGAGAATCCGCCTACGTTCAAGGGAAAGTATAATCCTAACGGAGCATTGGATTGGTTGAAATAGATTGAGTGAATCTTCCGTGTGATGGATTTCACTCCAGCACAGAAGGTTCGATATGGGACTCATATGCTAGAAGCCGAGGCTGATGATTGGTGGCTAGAGAATTGTCAGAGATTGGAAGCTGCAGGTGAGAATGTCACTTGGGATGTGTTCTGTAGGGAGTTTTTGAAGAAGTACTTTGCTGAAGATTTTCGTGGTAAGAAGGAGATTGAATTTCTTGAGCTGAAGGAAGGGAATATGTCAGTTGTTGAGTATGCTT